TTTTTTTTTTTTTCTGAGAATACCATTTATTCTAGTTCTTATACATAATAACATACAGAAATATAATAAACAGATATACAAATAGAGGAACAAAAAAATGCATCAGCCAATGATTCAAAAAACCTCATATAAGCAACATAAATTAGTAGGTGTATAGGGAAGGAATTGTAGTTAGAGTGAATGTTACCCAAATCTTAATAAAGGAAGTGGAGAGGTCCACCTCCAGGCCAACATGCCGTCGAAAGTATAAGAAACGGGAGACAACATAAAGGTAACGATTAAGGACAAACGATTGGTAAGGTGATAAAGCTGCATTGCAAATAAAGTAGCGAAGTTTCCTTGGAAGATTCGGTGGGTGGAGCTGTGCCCAAACAGAATATTACATGATTTCTATATCGGAAAAATATATCTGAGAAACAAACAAATTACTCAAGACGCGTAAATAATATCTCGATATTTTTTCACACATCCAAATTCCCGTCTAACAAATCCTCAATTATAATTTTTGCAAATTTGGTCAAGTCATTTTCCAATAATCTTAACTGGAAGCATCTTACATACGTGTTGGGTGGGATTGTGCTACACAATACAAACTTGTGATCTTGACTAAGTTATTTTCGGAAACTAATTTGACACATCACGCAAAGACAAAGAAATTGGAGACAAGAGAGAAAGCAAATTGGACAAGTGATATTTTATCTTTAGATGAATAGGAGTATATTGCTGTAGTTGATTTCTTTGTAGTTATATAGAATTTACACCAAATTTGTTCTAAGTAAAATCTAATTGATTAAAAAAGTATAAAAATCTATAAAGAAAATATAAAATATATAGAAAACTTAAGGGAAATTCAGCCATATTTATATTCTTCATGAACGAGCTTATTTGGTCTAGCCAAGATCCAATTTGTATGACAAACCAGGTAAATAACCACTTCCTCTAAGATATATGACCTAATTGGGAAAACAACATCCTAAAACACCATTACAGTTGATTGCCAATGCAATTCCCAGTTCTTTAACTTTACCAAGTAGAATCCCAATGAGGTCTTGTTTCCGAAGTCTCTCCAGTTTGCTTTGCCAATGCCTTTCCAAATTGAGTTAAATACCAAGCTAGAATCCTTGTCCAACACCATGCCAATGCATTTCCAAATCTCACAAGTCCTAAATGGGACAGAGAACTTGCAAACTCTTGCCAATGCGTTTTGTCAATGCCATAACCTAGCTTGGATAAATTCCAATAGATGTAGATTGATTTCTGTAACATTGGAAGTGGAATCAGCTATATCTTAAAGTCAAGCACTAGGCTTTAGTAAGTTATCAATATATGGTTTGTTTGGGTTGTTCTCACTAAAATTAAAAGATTCTTTTCAAGAATGGACCAATTGAATGGAGCAATCATATGGAATTCAAAGCTATTTTTTTTTTTGAATTGATTTGGTATTCAATTTAAATTAATTGGGAGAGTACCTGAATTGGATTATGTAGATGGAGATCTATATGAAGTTAGTGGAATCATTGGTGATAATTCTTTTTAAATCGGGTGAAATAGTAAACGGTTGGTTTTTAATTCCCTGCATTTACAATTGAAATATTAAGTGGTTCCTTGTGTTGGATTTGGTAAACGAAACATCTATACGATTATATAGGGTGTTTCTGTAATATCAAGTACTGATAGATTCGTATAAGAATTAGTGATTAAATAGATGATCTACCAATGAAATTATTAATTTGATAATTTTGTTTATTAAAAATCAGATTTCATTTTTTCAACACACTTCTCTCTTGTTTGCAGATTTTTTTTTTAATTCCACTTTCAATTCATTTCTTATTAGAACACAAATGTCTACAACAACAACAATCATTTAACAATAGAAGAATCCTTTAGAATCGCCAAGTTGAATCATTGAGATAATTTGACAGTACCACCTAATGAATTATTAAAGTTGGATTGGTTAGTTAGTTGATTAATTTCGATAAGTTTGGCAATATTTCATTCCAAATACAGATAAAAGCAACTTTCA